CCTTGTCACTCTTTGCAGGCCATCATTTGTCATGACTTTATATATAGAGAAACACTACCAAAGAACTTCTGGCGGTGTTCTGGTGGCTTCTTGGACTGATTGGCAGAGCATCTCAGTTTCTTCTGGAGTAAACTGCTGTTGATTTGTGAATGGCGTCTACAGGCGGATGGAGTTACTACTGCTGATTCCTGTGAACTAAAACTACTGATACCCTGACAATGCAGGTTGGATTCGCTGCAAAGAACCATTTCTAAACAGGTCCACATCCTCATTTGCCCTATTAACCTTTCCTTTCTACTACCTCTGGTGGGTGGTGGGCTAGAAGGGAGATTAAAACACTTAAGAACCCTTGTTAAAAGCTGGTGTTGGAAAAAAATTAGCCTACACATTCATATTTCACCTTTTATGTCTTAATTGTGGTTTCTGTTGCTGTGATAAGGCCAAAAGCAACTTTGTAGGAAAAGGTTTATTTTAGCTTACTGTTCCATATCACAGTCAATTCATGAAAGAAGTCAGGGCAGCAAAGAAGTCAAGGCTGGAGCTGGTGCAGAGGCCATGGAAGAGTGCTGCTTATTGGCTTATTCCTCTTGGTTTGCTCAGTTTATTGTCTTATGCATCCCAGGACCTTATGCCTAGAGGTGGCATAGTCCATAATGGATTCTGCCTTCCTACATCAATAATCAATTAAAAAATGCCCTACAGGTAAATTCCATGGAAATATTTTCTAAATAAAATTTCTTCTTTCAAAATGACCCCAGCTTGTGTTAAGTTAATGTGAAAACTAACCAGCATATAGTTTGACTCTTTGTTTAGTTCTTTGCCCCATATTATAATTGAGTTGTTTATTTTCTTGATATCTAGTGCTTTGAGTTCTTTGTATATTTTAGATAATAATTTTCTGTCAGATGTATAGCTGGTGATCATTTTTTTTTAACCTTTGGTAGGCTGCCTCGTTAGGATTCTATAGGACTCTGTAGATGTCTTTTGCTGTACAGAAGCTTATTTTTGGTTTCATATGATTCCATTTGTTGGTCTTTTTTTTTTTTTAAATATCAACTTTAAAAGTTAATGACACAAGGCTGGGAATTGTAACCTTGTTTACTGATGAGGAAAGAATTAGATCTGACCAAATCACAGAGCCCTCAGGGTACAAATACAGAGACGCCCCATTACCACAGAGTCCTCAGAGTATAAAGGAAAGACCCTCTTTCTTCTTTTCTGTCTTCAAGTTGAAGGTTTAGTTTTAGTACTTTAACTCTCAGTATTGGTGTTGACCTCTAAGTCCCAACTGGTTCAATGCAAATCAGTTTCTCAGCATATAAAAGTGATTTGTTTGTTACACAAATTGGTGGCATTTCTCACTGATGGAAGGATAAACAGGGCCTCTGAGCTTCTGACCAGTGACCCCCATCTTACCTGCACCATCTGAGCTCACATCAACCTGAGCTTTGCTCTAAGATGGCTGATTCTCTAGCACCCAAAGCTGCTTTTCTCTATGGAATGCAAATCACCCCCTTGCATGGGGCCCTGCCGGGCCTGGAAGAATCCAAGGTGACATTCAGTTCCAGATTAACTGACATGGGAACAGTGTTGCTGAAGTCAAAGAAACCTTCCGTTTTACTGTTCATTTATTGATTTCTTCATTCATTTATTTTCTGAAACCACAAAATAACTTTAATGACACAGCTCGGGAAGTTTGCACAGAAGGTACCCGAGCACTGTGGGTATTCTTTATACAACATGCTCCTAATACTTATGCTGACAGTGGCACCATCACATATTTCTCAAAGATTGTGTCTACAGTTTAGGACTTATGGAACTTACAGTGGGGGCTCAAAGTCTGCACCCTGTCCATGAAATCCCCACTGAGGCCTCTCCATCATGGATTCACACAGATGGCACTTTTACTCTCGGACGGCACTGTCTGCATGTTCTGTGTGGAACTGAATGAAACAAAGAAAAAAAGACCTATGTAGAAGAATAGCTAGGCAGGAAGCAACCCAAGTTAATGCCCCCATCTCACAGGTGTGATGACTGAGAACTGATGGGTAGGAATAAAGGACTGAAGGGCTCTGATGTTGCCCACTTGTACCAATTATGAGAATCAAGAACTCTCTCAACCCAGATGGTCCAAATCTTAGTGACATGCACTGTATTCAGCCTCTCCTAGGCAAGCCAAGGTGATGTGTCTCTATTGCATTGGGATATAACTTAAGTGCATAAGAGTATATTTTAAAATACATCTTATGAGGAGCTCAAGTCTGGGTGGATATTTTTCTGAGGGCTCAAAGGATTGCCTCTTGTTGCTAACTTAGAAGTCATAAAATCTTCAGATTATCATGCAAAAGATATAAATCAAAAGCGTGCTTCTGTGTGATAATTGCTCGTGCTGCTGCTGCATGTCATATCCTAGGAGAAGGGAGTGATGACTCCACCCAGTGGAGGCCCTCAGTGCAGCCACTGGGCCCAAAGCCATAAGCATCACAGAGAACTTTTTACCAAGATGGCCCTGTTTATCTATTGCAGAAGTTAGGGGTAGAGCTCTCCAGACAGTGTGATACAAGCTCAATTTGAGGACTGCCGCTATAGAAGTAAAGCCAGCCCTAGGTTTCTGCAGGAGACTGGTTCTAATACTTTCCAGATCTTCAAAGTAAACACCCCAACCCAAAGACACTGTGTTAGTTACTTTTCTGTTGCTGTGATAAAACATCATGGCCCAAAGCAACTTGCAGAAGGAAGAACTCCTCTGACTCACAGTTCCAGAGGGATTTGAGTCCTCCATGGTGGGAGGCATGGCAGCAAAGGGCAAGCATGGGAGCAGGGGCAGCAGCTGAGCTCTCAGATCGCCAAGGGTAAGTATGATGCAGAGAGGGAGCTGGATGAAGGGCAAGGCCTGTCCTCAGTGATGTACTTCATCCTGGAAAGCTGGACCACCTAAATCTCCCCAAACAGCCCTATCAGCTAGAAACCAAGTTTTCAAATAGTCGATTCTAGGGGGACATTTCTCATCAAAGCATCACAGGGGCTCAGGTCATTTACATAAAATGATGTCATATTTGAATGTAACTTATGTTGATTCTTGCGAATATTTAAAACCATCTGTATATAATCGTAATTACAATGTAATGTGATACAGGTGCCATGCAAATAGTTGTACTCTATTATCTAGGGGATGCTGGCAGGGAAGGAGGTCTGTGCATGCTCAGAACATACACAGTTTTCAAATACATATTTTCAGTACATAGTGGGTTAAACCCACATGTAGGGGGCTTAGCACCCTGTCTTCCTGGTTTCTGATACCACAATAGTTAAATTTATGAATCAAAATGGCTAGAATAGGATGTCCAAGTGATTGGTCAAACACTGGTTTATAGATTGCTGTAAAGATCTATTTTCAAGATTTAAAGAATACTTTTTATAAGGCAAGGAGCCCCATCTAGTCCACTGAAAGACTTAACAAGTGAGGTGGTCCTCTAGAGCTTCTGCCTCCAGACTTCCCTGGAGTTTAAGACTGCAGATTACCTTTCTACCAAAGCTCTAGTCCACTAGTCTGCTTCACAAAATCTGGCTTTCCAGTCCCAACAGTGCATAAACCCCATCTTCCTTTCCTTTCTTCACATGCACACAAGAATTTCCCAGGAGCTCTGTTCCCCTGGAGATCTTTGGAGACAGCATGATATTCTGATCTCTGAGGTCTCCTTACTTGCCTAAGCTCAAATGCATGACATGAGTCTAGCTGGGCCTCAACTGGCTGCTGTCCACAGGCAGGAATTAGTGCAAACATGAAAATTAATTTCAACCCAGGGCTTAGAGAATTAATAAAGGATTAGGCATTTCATAGATTTAACCAATTTTCAACAGTCATTTTGGTTGTAGATCATTCCTTTTCATTAAACCCTCTTCATTGAAAAGTTCTAGCTTTCAATGGGCAGGGAAAAATCAGATGGGTTTTAATGGAAATCCTTATGCTGTTATCCTCTGCATGGCTTCAAGGAAGTCAGTTAACCCACACCAACCATGTTTTCCCTGTCAATGAAGCTACGGATTTTCTTTTACTGGCTTTGTTTCAGATAGTATCTTGCTACTCGTTCAGGCAGGCCTTGAAATTGTAGTCTTCCTTCCTCTGCCTCCTGAGTGCTGGCACAACAGGTAACACCATGCCCATGTTTCTAGGTGGCAGATTCAAAGTGCCAATCCCTGTTTGGTTTGTGGTATGTGCCTAGCAAGTGGTAGCTATCCTTACTGTGGCTTCAGTATGGCCATCATGGAGGCATGCCGAGAAGGTAGTATTGATAACTGGTGTTTGGGTGATGATTTTCTGGTTAATTTTGAATGTGGTAGTTTAACAGAGAAAACACAACCAACTGCAGCCAACATGTCAGGAAATTATTTCAGTTAGGAGGTAAGTACAGACTTCAGGAGAAACCCTAAAGAAAGGAAGGAAGGAAGGAAGGAAGGAAGGAAGGAAGGAAGGAAGGAAGGAAGGAAGGAAGGAGTAGGCTCCACAGACTGTTGGAGACACCAGTAGCTATGCACAGTTCTAGGGATGTTTGGAAGTGTGGTCAAGCTGCAGTTTTCTGTTTCATGCTTGGCAGAAAGCTGCTTACCCAGGTAAGCAGACTGGAGTGTGAGCAAACCAGAGGGGCCAGCCCCTTCCTACTGCCTAACAGCCTTGAAATGTACGATTCTGATACATTTGGAAGATGAGCATAAAGAATGAGCTTGGACTCAGAGTCCAAGATGATGTCCTAGAACCTTCAGCAAGACTTTAAATAGGAAGTATGTGTGACCCCAAGTGAAGGTCGTCTGTTTCGGGCTCACTCCTTCCTGAGCCCTCAGTTCCAGGCAGGGCTCTTCAGATCTCCAGCTTGCTCCCAGTCGTGGCAGCCTGCATGGCACTAGACTGGTGGTTGTCTCAGGCTAGCTCCCTGTCTGAGGCCCTGGTCTTGGACTCTGTCTCAGGGTTTTGGTTTGTTCTCTGGCCCCCTCTCCCCCCAGGGAGTATCAGGCTACTAATCATTCAGATATTCACAGGTCAGAACACTGAGTATAGACTGCCTCTCTCCTTTCTGCCACCTACTGACAACGTGAATGTGACACAGCAGCCACACCTGCAACGTTACTAGGGGCAGCTCTACAGATTTTTTTGTTTGTTTTTGTCAGAAAAAAAGCTGTCAATGTTTTTAAGATGCTTTTCTTCATCTTCAAATGTATGATTGTGATATGTATGATTTCCCCTTAACAAGAAAAACATAGGGAAAAAAACAGATGGATTTTTAGGTCATTAATGAACCAGCTTTGCATTCTTGGGATGTACCCTAGCTAGTCACGGAGCATTGTCTGTTGGATTTGACTTGCTAAAATTAGGCTTTAAGTGCATATGGGTGTGCACATGTGTTTGTGTCTGTACTCATGGGGTTGTCTGTCTGTAGTTTCTGCTACTTGTAACATTTTTGATTGAGTTACAGTATAAAGTGGTTTCTTGCAACAATCTGAGTAGTAATATATTCTGTACACCTTCCTGGAAGACTGGAATCAATATGAATTATCCTTTCAATGTTAGGTGACAAGGTCATCCAAAGCTGAGATATTCTTTGGGGGGGATTTTTTTTAAAGGACAATGTATAAGAATAGAGATAGGATAATTTAACGTGTTGTGTTTTACTTTAAGTACACATATTTTCGTCAAGGACTTTGGCACTTTATCTTATCAATATATTAAGTTTTTCATAACACTGTCTTGTAGTCCTTTGAACACCTGTAGAATCTGCGGGCTGTCAGCACTCCTCTTCTGTCAGCAGCTGGACCAGTCTTCCCTCCCATCCTTTCCTGCCCTCTTCCTTGCTTCCCCCTCTCCTCCAACAATTTGACCACCGGCCTATCAGGGTTTGTTGTTTGTTTGTGACACAATCTCTCTATGTAGCCTTGACTGTCCTGGAACTCACTCTATAGACCAGGCTGGCCTCAAACTCACAGAGATCCACCTGTCTCTGCCTCCTGAGGGCTAGGATTAAAGGTGTCCACCCAATCCCCTGTGGTTTGTCAATTTTATTGACTCTCTAAAATTTTTTTCAGCTATTTTTTTTTGTTTTCCTGTCTTCTACTGCAGTAATTTATTATCTGATTTTACTTCTTTCTCTCCTGTTTCTTCTATATGTAATTTATGCTCTTTGTAATTATGTAATTAATGCTCTTGGTCCTGGTTTCTAAAGGGGAAGCTCAAGTCATAGATTGGAGACCATTCTTGCTTTTTAACTTAATTTGGGGCTATAGTTTTCTTTCCAAGATTTGTTTCTCACCCAACTGTGTTATGCTGTGCTTTGGCAGTCAGTTCATTGGGCTTCTGTCTCATCTTGCCTGTTGGAAGGCACAGGCACTTTTTATTGGGTGTTGTACATTATTGCTTTTTTCTTATTTTATGCTGACTGCTTTTGTTTCCCTGTATCTACCTCTGAGCCTGCTGTGTGTTTTACTTTTGTCCTGGCCTCAGACGGCTCTATCTAGGTTCTGCCCATGAAAGTACTCAGAGAAGCAGTTCTCAATCTATAGGTTGTGACCCCTTTTGCGGGGTCACTCACTTTCACAGTGAGCCCCTTCACAGGGGTCTCATATCAGATATTTACTTCACAATCATAACAATAACAAAATTACAGTTATGAAGTAGCAGCAAAGATAATTTTATGGTTGGGAGGCCACTGTATTAAAGGGATAGAGCTTTAGGAAGGTTGAGAACCACTCCCTTAGGGGACCAGCGTTTGCTCTAAATACTAACTGCCTTGCCTGAAGAAAGGGTTCCTGATGGTTCAGAGGCCCTGCTAGTGGCTAGGACCTCAGTTCCTGCCCTGGCTTGTTGTGTCTGGCTAAATGTAGAGTCTCTTTTCCTCCAGTCCTTTCCGGTAGCTCTCCTGGCCATCTCCTCATTCGCATCTATGTAATGGGCCTCTGTACCTCTGTATCTCCGGGCACCTGCAATGTTCCTTCTCTCCAGGTTCCTACCCTGCTTAGGTGGGCGCTCTGACTTGCTCAGCCATAAGCTTTGCCACAGTCACTCTTTCTAAGGTGTGGACTGGGTCCTCTCTGGTCTGCGACATGGATCAATCACGCGGCTCTTTGTCTCTGCTACTTTTCTTTTCTTTTTTTTTTTTTATTGGATGATTTATTTACAATTCCTATGTTGTCCCCTTACCCCATCCCCCACCACCCCCTCGGAACCCCCAATCCCCTCGCCCCTCCTCCTTCTTCTCTGTGGATGTAACCTCTATCTGCTACTTTTCAAAACTTCTTCAGCAATTCTTTTTTTTTTCCCCCCTTTGTTATTTTATATGTACAGGTCCCTTTAACCTTATCTTGGCTATTTAATCTAATTACAATCTTACAGGTAACAGGGGCTATTTTTCCTACTGTACAAACAAGAAACACTCCATTTGGCTGCTTTACTAACTCCTTAAGGTCCAGGTCTGGACAATTGAGGCACCTGGGAAGAAGAGGGCTTTGGTCAACTTTGAGCTCGGGCTGCAGATCGATGGTGGCAGTAGTGTCCACTAGGGGGCGGCAGAGGCCCGGCGTGCTCTGGTTCATCTCTGGGTTTTCCCTTTGTTTCCTCCCTCTAAAGCTAATTCTTGCAAGTCCCTTACTACCCTGGCGATTTCTAAGCTCGGCATGGTTAATCCACAGCTCCGCTTCTTGTACTGTGGGCTGAGACACTCCTCACAACTTTCTGTTACAAGTAAACAGAGAGCAGAAGTCACGGCGGCTTGGTAACAAAGATGAGCGAAGACTGGCTGGATTCGGACGGTTACTAGTTTTCTGGCTGTCTTCTCTACGGCTTGGCTTTGCTTTCAGACTCTTGTCCCTCTTAGTCAACCAGCTGCCTGTTGCTGTTCTAACGTCACCTCAAACAATGCACAAAAAGTGAGACCTCAGGCCACCAATAAGTCTTGGTTCTACTTGATGGAATCACATGTGGGGTACACAGGCTTACTCCAAACCCTGCCCACAGCTGCCTACCGAAGCAAGGGCTGGCTTGGGTCAAGTATGTTCTGCAGTTAATGTCTTGTGCTAAACAGGCAGAGAGTCTGCAATTATCTCAAGCTAATGAGAGCTGACGTTAAGAGCTGGGGTGCATGCCAACCCCTTCAAAGCACACCAACTACAGGCTGTAAGAGCAGCTGAGGCATGCCGGTGACCATTTATAGATATTCATCATGGGAGTACTTAAGAGTCTGTAGTGTCAGGATCTCACCCAAGACCCTAACAAGTGTTCTCTGTGTGAGCTGCTACCTAAGGGCTCACTGCGCAGACTCAGAAGCGGCTCACAACTACAGAGGGGTTTGCAGCTTCTGCCCTGAAAAGCCAGTGAGGAGAGGGTCTGGGATCTGACCTATTTGTAGTCTGGTTTGTTTGCTGTCCCAGAATAGAGTAACCACCAGGCATAAGGCTAAGATTGAGTAATTATCTAAAGGTGTTCAGAGAATGATCTGCTTACTTGGAAGGGAGGAAAGCCGAGAGAGACATCGCAGAACTAGAGAGCCCGTGGGAGCACACAGTGACAACATTTCCTTTAGCTTGTGGAGGCCGAGCAATGCCCGGGAGAGAGCATCTTCAAGATTTGAGGGATCAGAGAAATGAGCCAGGCATGGGAAGAAGGGATGGACCTGTCAGTAGTTGGAGGGAAAGGGAGCAAAACACCAATAAGTGAGAAAGTTGGGGGCTCGTCACTCCCTTTGTCTCCAAAACACATGCAGTTCATGATGTTACCTGATAGTTTCAAATCCTAAAATCCTGAAATGGTGGTGGGGGAAGCACAAACAAAGCAAAACACTACCCATACCTGCCTCTGATGAAGGCATTAGATACTCGGTCCCCAGGCACAGGGTGCAGAGGACAGCTGCGGGTGTCAGGTGTGTGCAGGAAAACTACATTTCCCTCTGCCCTCTGTTGTAACTTGTACAAATTGAGAAGGGTTTCAGACTCGGCTGTCTTGGCAGTGACATGGGTCTTTGGTTTCTTAGAACTCCAGGTTTGTGACAGAACTCCAGGTTTGTGACGTCAGAAAGGTAGATTGGTTTCTACACTCTTGAGAAAAAGAAGGGTTGTTTCCTTAGCTGAGTGAGAGTAATCAACTTAACAACTGGCTCCTCATGAACATCTCTGCAGCGCAAGTCCACACCATCCACTACCTGCAGAGACAGGCTCGCTGAGTGGTTCTGGGCATTGTCTCCTTCTTGGCTCGGGCTTTCATCAGGCGCAAAGACTGACCCTCAAGGAGCAAAGCACAGTGGAAGCCACTTGTACTATTTACCTAGACGTTGATATGACTATAATTTCTGAAAAAAAAGTAAGGGAGGAAGGGTTTAGTTTAGCTCATGGTTTAGAAATTTCAGTCCTCGGGTGCCTGGCCCCATGCACTCATGGGGCATCATGTCAGCAGTGCTGTGTGCATGGAGAATAACGGGTCACCTTGTAGTGTATCATGGGATAGGGAGGATGGGACTAAATAAAAAGCCATTTATAACCTTCAGATACTCTTATACTGAGGGTCTAGGGAATGTCTTTGCCAGTCACACCCTTCTAGAGGCTCCAAGTGTTCACAACCCAAGCCTGTTGGGGCCATTTTAGACTCAAACCATGGTACCATTAGGGCCTTTGTAGGAACGCAGTTCCTGGAGGACACCTGGGACCTGATACAGGGGCACTGCTCTTGATCACACCCTGGATTCCAGTGGGGTCCTATTCAGTTCAGAGTCATCATGAATACAAATTTTTGATTCAATTGAATGAGTTAAACTTTATACAGCTGATCTTTTGTATCTTCGAGTTCTTTATCCATTGATGAAATCAACTGCAGATTGGAAATATTTGGGAAACATTTATTGAGCATGCGTAGACTCCTCCCTTATTATTTTGTGAATGATGGATTATAATAGCTAGAACATAGCATTTACATTATATTAAGGATAAGTTATCTAGGGGGTGCCATGAAGCATGTGGGAGGATCGCTCAGGACATCTGAAAATATGGCGCCACTTTGTACACCTGCGCATCCTAGAGTGGCTCCTTCATGGATGCCAAGGGGGATTGAAGACTTTCCTTCTGCAGCCATGGCATGGTGATCTTGAGCACCTTCCAACATT